TAGATCCATGATAGATGGACCTAGATCCATGATGGATGGACCTTAATCCATGATAGATGGACCTAGATCCATGATAGATGGACCTAGATCCACGATAGATGGATCTAGATCCATGATAGATGGACCTTAATCCATGATAGATGGACCTAGATCCATGATAGAGGGATCTTAATCCATTGTTCAAGGAATTTAAGTATCTGAGGGCTTATGAAGTTTAAAAATCATGTTTCAATACCCGCAGAGGGAGGAGTACAGATAGCCCACGGTGTAGTTTTGTGTATAACATCAAACAAAACAAAAACAGATCCCCTTACTCTATGTAATGAATATTTTGAGTGAACGGGAAGCGACACTGTTATGATTTAAATCTCTCTGTATTCTAAATATTCATGTCCTCTAGCGTTTTCTGAGAATTCTTGGTGCGAAAGGTGATTACAAGAAACTTCAATTGCCTTCTTCTTTTTTTAATCTACTTAGACTGGTTTAGGGGAATGTTGCCTTGCTATGTTGCCTTGCTATTACAAAACTTCAAGTAATCTTCGTGAAACTTCATAAAAGTAGAATAAGGACACTGGGGGTGCCCAGAAAATGGGGGGGGGGAGAGAAAAGAACTGGCGAATAAAGAACAATTTCCATAACAAAAATGTGTGAAAAAAGGTAAAAGTGATGTTAGGACTGTTACCATTCTTACTTACTATTTATAGTTTTGCTTCTCATTTTCGTTTTTCAGGTGTTATAGCTTTACTATTTAGGATAAATTTCATATTGTCTGTTTTGTTGATTCTCAGACGAGGGCTATCCGTCCCTAATCTTAAAGTAGCAAATTAGAGGGAAGCCTCTCAACACCATTCGCCGCCAAATTTTGTCAGACCGAATAGCCGGATTTAGGCGTCTTTCCTATAATGCTCTGACGGCCCAAAGTGCGGAGCGCGTTTTTTTTTGGCAGCAGCTGGACGCCAACCTCAGATCCGCGGGATTATCCACTGGTCGCGCCTAACTTTCATATAGTTTATACGATGTCGTTTTTGTTGGTTTCTGTTGTTAAGCAGCGCAAAACAACCCAAGGAGGGACTGTCTGCAATGTGTCCACCGCGGAGAATCGAATCGCGGATTTTAGCGTTATAAATCTCAAGTTAACCACATGTTTCGTTTTCATGAATCTCAACTTATAATAATTACCAGTTTGACAGATTTCAAGTCGGGGTCAAATCTTCAATGAAAAACAACAAAAGTTGATAATCAATGATTACCTCAGTAAACTTCTTTAAAAACAAAGATCTACAGAGGTTTTAATATAATACACTAAAACGATTTTGGAGCCTAATCACGTCGTTACACTCACTCCATGTCACCATGTTCGGTCGCGCTCTGTTTGACGACTGTGAATCTCGACAACAGATCTGCAACATAGTTTCCATTCCATAAAAAGTCTGCATAAAACTGTCATGTTCAAAGCACACTATTACTCCCTACAGGCATTCCATAACTTACCTATTGTACTAGTGTGACAATTTTCCAGCTCCTGTTTAAATAGTCCAATCGCACAGAAATCCATAAGTGACTTGTCCAGTACATTTTCGTATGGAATAGCATGAATAATCATTTCATTCTCCAGCTGTTTGAGGTATGTGATGGTTGAATGGGAGGTATGACTGAAAGTCTTCTCTTATTGAACCAATTATCTGATGGCCTCATTTCGAGATGAAGATCCTTTTTAATTATGTTGCCTGGAACACGTGAACGTCTTTTGCCACTGACCATTGTGTTTGTGGATATAACGGATAAAAGAAGCATTTAAACTAAGTTGTATGAACTAGTCTATTTGATAACGTACTAAGCGAAAGACCTCACCTGTAGCGAGCAAACTACTGTAAAACTATGTGTAGAGAATGTAAAAAAAAAAAGGCTTTAAATTTTCGTCCTGTTGATAACGTCTTACTAATTAATTCATTGAAATATTTCCAGTTTTACTGCCTTCTTTCGTCAAGCTTAAAACGACCACTTTTTAACTTACTCCAATGTATGGCTTAAAAATGTGTTAATTTGCATTTTCAGCTAGGACTAAACTAAATCTCCTAAGCTGGTCGAAGCTCATGATACATTATTGGGATTATGGCTGTACATATTACTGAGTTTGTGTTTATTTTTTGATCTAAAATAGGTAGCTTGTTTTAATAGGAATTTGATATTAATTACTGATAGAAACATTATTATTAATTAAATATTTACCATCCCTAGTTTGTCTTCTTTGTTTGTTGAAGGTCGCGCAAAGCTTCACGAGAGCTATCTTTGCTATTCGTCCCTAATTTAGCAGTGTAAGACTAGAGGGAAGGCAACTAGTCAACACTACACACCGCCAGATCTTGGGCTACCTTTTTACCAATAGTGGGATTGACTGTCACATTATAACGCCCACACAGCTAAAAGGGCGAGCATTATTCTAACTCGCGACCCGCCCTAACCACCAGGGCATGCCAGGCCATGTCATTCCTAAAAGAAACATTATAATTAGTTAAACATTCTCAAGTTGATATAATCGTAATTATTATTATCATATATAAATTAATTACTTCCAGTAAAGACAGGTTCTCATGGCATTAATCAAAATATTACTAACTACATTGCCATTAGTTACATGCTCCAAAGTCAATATTATTCCAAAACTATATTAATATGATATATCGACTTTGCCCCCACCCCCACCCAGTGGCACAGCGGTATGTCTGCGGACTTAAAGCGCTAAAAACCGGGTTTTGATACCCCTGGTGGGCAAAATACAGATAGCCTATTGTGTAGCTTTGTGATTAATTATAAACAAACAAACAAAATCTATTTTATTTTCGAGCAAGCCTAACAGCAACAGCGTCACAGATTAAATATTTGTTGTTTTCTTTTAGTGTTTTGTAATTCTAGGCAGCTTTTTTAGGAACTGAACACTCCTAATGACATGCAGCCTCAAAATCTTCGTTATGAAGGCGTTAAAATTACGTTAATTTTAATTAAAACATTAAACTCGTGGTATTCTCAGTTAGATCTTAGAATGTTTGTTTGTTTGTCTCTTTTTGAAGTTAAGCACAAAACTACACAATGAGCTATCTGTGTTCTGCCCATCACGGGTATCGAAACCCACTTTCTAGAGTCGTAACTCCGTCGACATGCTGCTGTGCCCCTCGTGTGGTGGGGGGGGGGGTCTTAGAAATCACTTGCTATCTCACGCAAGTCGATACAGAGCGACCAGTAGTAATTTGAGAATTATGTACTTATGTTCATACTGCAGTTTTATAAAACGTTATTTTAGTACTTATTAGCTGCTCCCAAGTACAGTCGGTAAAAGATATATTCATATCTTAAGTGTATGTCTGCGGACTTACATCGCTAGAA